TTTCAAGAGGTATTTGTTGTTTTTTCCTAATTTGGTGGTATTTTATTTGCAAGCAAAAGTATTTGCTCACGACTCACTCACATTCCAGGATCTGCTCCATGGAAGGCTGTAAAATTCATTTGATCTTTTACTTGGCAAGAGAGTAGTAATCTTGACATTATGGTAAACACCGAAATGTGTTTGCAGCATTAATTCAGATCCTTGCATGCATCCCATTACTAGTGTCCCTGGACCACTTAAGAAGACTGCACTTCTAAAAGCACATCGACTCTTTTGCTTCACTCTCTCCCTCGGACTGAGGGACTCTGTTTTCTTTTAAACACTGTTAACAGAGGGGCTTTCACTTTTATTGGTCACAGCAGTTACATTTGTCCTCTCAGTGATCTCATTCTTGTCCGGTGCTGCCACAATAAATGGGACTAGGCTCCAAAAAGGTGAAATTGCCAAACCTATAACCATATGCCGTCCTACATAAAAATTTGCTGGAGTCCTCCTTTTTCCCTGTTTTTAGCTTTGTAAAATAACTTGTTACCATTGGGCTGCTTGTTTTTTCAAATTACCAACCAAAATGATCCTTTTTGTTATTCCTGATAATCAAGGAATTGGTTATATAAAGTTGATTAATATGCCCAACCTCTTAAAAAACAGATAGGTTGCTGAAAAGTTATCTGTGGTGTTAAATAATATCTAGGTCCTGAGCTGTTGGAAGAAAAATCTCAGAAATACACTAAGGTGTATTGGGAGGAGAAGTGTTGGGAAGAGAGCCAGATATTACTCCTGTGAAATTCTCAAGTATGTCACCCTCAAAAATTCCTGTGATTTTTGCCACTCAAGGACCCTGTGTTTTGAAAGCATCTGTCTACTAGTCACAGAAAAATAAATTATTTCCTCATTTTTAATTAATTTAGCACATATTGGCAATCAGCTTTTGAGCCACACAAGAGAGCTAGTGTTACACACCCGAGCTAATATCATTCCATCTGAAAACTAAGAAACACAGAGACTAGGAAATATGGTGGAGCCTTGTCATGAGTGACTGCGAGAAATCATTCACAGCCCTATGCTACTACCTTCAGGGGGTCCTGGCCGTGAACTACTACTACCTGAAGAGTTCAAATTCACAGTCTTGCAAAACCTTTCTGGGTTGTAGATTTCATCTGGTGCCTCACAAGTGAAACAAGTCCATTTTCTTGAGCGTCGAGGTGTTCCCCAGCCTGGCTTTTCTGTCTCAGAAATGCCATTTCCGTAAAGAGCTGTCATGCTTCGTGTTCTCTGGCTTATGATTTAGCTGTTCAGGGAAAGTGCAGGCTGCTCTTACTCTCTGAGTGCTGGTGATATGTGTTTTTGTTTTATTAAATCTTTAAAATACTGGGCATGTTGTTTATGAGGCCCATATATTCTTTTGTTCTTCCCAGTGCCTAGTTAGATCACATTTTTTTCACCTCCCTTTGTGAAAATATTGGTGCCTTTCTAAAGAACATCGTGGTCTTCAGAATGACTGCGTAATAGAATGGAAGAATGTGTTGAGCTTAATGATAGGTATGTCAGGGCTATGACTCACAGTTGCTTCCTTGATGGTAAGGACTGAGGCTTCGCAGACGTGGTCTACAGATTTGCCTGTTTTTCTGCTCTTGCTAAGATCGTTGTGACAAATCTTAAATCAAGGTAGTTTTGTACTAATGACAGAGCTCTTTATCAAGTACAGTAAGACCCCTGGGTTACTAACTTCCAACTTAAAGACAACTCTCATTCACTCATTGCTGTCAAGTCGGAACTAACTCATCGCTGATCCTCCTCTGAGTTTCTGGAGGTGTAAGTAGTACAGAAAGAAATTGTTCACCTTTCCCATGAGGAGCTGGTGGATTTGTAGTCCCTGAGAGGCACCACTTTTCGGTTACTAGCACAGCTCCCTACAGACTGTGCCCCCACATCTCCCTCCACACAAGTCTGCTTATCCCTCAATGTGGTAGTCATTTGACCTCACCTTGAAACAGTTGAACCAACAAATTCATCAGCACAGTCACCCTCACTTGCCATGCATGAAACTCCTAGATTGCTGAAAAGATATTGCGTCTTTTACTTGCCCTAAAGTAAGACCAATTAAAAAGAATGGTACATACCTGTCCTGATGCACCTACAAATTTAAAGTCACACCTAGCAATGGATCTCCTTTAAGACTTGGATATTGCCTGTAAAGGTGCTAAAGAGCAATAATGTGCTCTAGTTGCAGACAACTATTTGTGATTGAAATTACAGAGACCCTGGGTTAAATGGTAACAAGCCCTTATCCAGGTGTTAGCTTCTCCCTGATACATGGGCATATCAGTGTTAAGGGCCCTACACTCCAAGCCAAAGGCTACCTAATTCTGCCAACCTCAATGAACCTTGGAGCTTCTGAGGATGAAGAAGGCATCTGCAGCCAATCCTGCATTCAAGTGATGCTTGAAGGGCTAATGTCCCAGGACTTGTCTTTGCACCCACCTGGTGGAGCAAGTTCAGCTGAGAGGTTGCCAGCTCATGGTTCTGTCCCTCGATGAAGAGGGCACAAAAAGCTTTTGTTAATCCTAAATGTAAACTGGAGAGTGACTCCCTTATGATGTGGGTCTCCAAATACACCATTTCGTGACATCCAACTGAACTCACTCTTGTGCATCCAGTATCTCGTAGCCCATCCTGTGTTGTTAGTTTTGGCAAGTTCCCTATAGCGTATAATAAATCATGGCAGGAAAAAGCTTTTTGGCCTAGCATGGTTGAGCCTGCTGTAATGTTCGAATACAGAAAGCAGTTCTGTTTTTAGACATCCTTTTACTAACCCAGCATTCATAATTTATGATTTCACTGTAAAATTCCTGCAACACTACACCAAAAGTAGTGCTGCCCTTTAATTAAGTGCTCTCCATAGGAAAAACGTGAAACTGATGTGCAAAATGTCTCCCTGTGCTCTGTGATTGATAGTGATTACATCTTTTTGAACCCAGCCTAAAGGTCTCAACTTCCTGATGGGTGAAGGCATCTATAGGGCCACTTCCTGAGCCTGCCTTGTGGGGATCAATCACTGCTAGCAGAAGCTGAGATCATCCAGAGGCACAGTGTTAGAAACGTTGAGGTTTTGAGCCTGTGTCTGTCTATACTTTATCACAGGTCTGTGTGCCATTATCCCTCAGGTTCGTGATAAGAACCTCTGACCAAGTGTCATGCTGTGTACACACTGAGAGAGGTGGGGAGCGAGTGGGGGACGGCTGGAGAGAAGATTTCTTTGAAGGACCCGCATGAGTCACATGAGGTTTAGTTTTTGTTTTTTTGTGTTTTTTTTTTTTTCTTAAAAAGGACTGACAGGAGTAACTTCTGCCTCTCTTTGTACATGGCATAATAAAACCAGAAGACCAACTGTTCCATTTTTGTCCTTTCTCAAACATTCTTCCTCCCTTTCTTCTCCCTTAATTGAAAACACCCACAGCCAGTGAGTCACTTCTGACTCATAGCAACCCTCAGTCAGGTTTCTGAGGCTGTAAATCTTTACAGGAGGAGACTCTTCATTTGTCTTCCTTGACTGGTGGATGGATTTGAACTGCCAACTTTTAGGTTAGCAGCCTGGTACGTTGCACACTACACCACCAGGAAGGACTTCTATAGGTGAAAATAATAATGTTGTTGCTGTTGTTGTTATGTGCCATCGAGTTGGAACTGACCCATAGCTGACCTTCCACTGACTTTTCAGAGGCAGTTAATCACATGGAAAGAGATCTTTCTCCTGCAGAAAAGCTGGTCAGTTTGAACTGCGTGCATGACTCCATACCGGAGCATAGGCCACCAGAGCATAGGTGAAATAGACAAGTTTAATTGCGAAAATTGTTGTGTATAATCAAGTCGGAACCAACTAAAATCTGGCCCTCTAGTGGGTTTTCAGAGGCAGTTAATAGCAGGGGAAGAGATTGCCCACTTCCTCCTGCAGAGCACTTGGTGGATTCTAACATCACGCATTTGTATTGGCATCACAACTCCTTACTGCTAGAGGTCCCATTGTACTTCTGTTAGGAATCTCTGAGGAGTACACATGTCTGACACGGGTGCTAATTGAAAGTTTTGTGGTTCAAATCCACCCAGAAGCTCCTCAGAAGAAACACTTGACCGTCTAATTGCCAAAACTCAGCGATCAGTAAGTAAGCTGATGGCGCACAGGGTTGCTCTGGCCCAGAGTTTACCGTAAGACGTGCCTGACTCAAGGGCAGTTGTTTGGTTTATAATGTTGTTTTTGTTACTAAGGGCCCTCTGGTTAACTAGGACTCATAGAGACCCTGTGAGCAACAGATCACCATCCTTACAATCTCTGATGTATTGGAGCCCGTTGTTACAGTCACTTTGTCAGTCCATCTCCTGAAGGGTCTTCCTTTCTTCCTCTAACCCTTTACCTTTCCCAGTATGATGTCTCTTTCCAAAGACTGGCCGCTCCTGACAACGTATGTGAACCAAGTTTCACCATCCTTGCCTCAAAGGAGCACCCTGTTTTCACTTCCTCCAAGGCAGACTTCTTTGTTCTTTTGGAAGTCCATGCTATTTTGACTACTTTTTGCCAATACTCTTTTAATGTTAGGAAACAGAAATTCCAAATCTAGTATTAGCCAGTGATCAGCTTCCTTAAAGTCAGCTCTATACCTACTGTGGGTGTTTCCCCTTTTCTTATCACCTAAGCAACCACATTAGCCCAAGTTCCTAACACCTCATTGAAAGGTAATTAGGATAGTTTTTATCTTTGAAATACCATAACTTCCTTAACAACAACAAGAAAGAAAAAAAAAAACCAAACCCAAAACAGAGCAAATCCATCCTAGATGGATATCTGAGATACTTGTATTAAGTAATATTTTGGAATATAATTTCAGCTACTTTAAATCATAACCATAGCAACTAAAATAAAAACGTTGCATAATGCTGACAATTAAGTGGCTTTTTTCTGGAGTAGTGTCATGTATGTATGAGCATTGTTTTCTTCTGTTTTGCAGATTTGGGCCTGGCTTAGTCATCTATTGGTATGGATTTATCCAGGAGCTGGACTGTAACAGGGAGAGGGGCATCCTGCTCAAAGCCTGTTTCCCCACAGACATTGTCACCTTATGCCACAGTGTAGCTTGACCCTGAAGATCCTGGAAGAGAAGCGGGAGGAAAAGGTGACTCCGGAAGCAATTTTACTTTCCTACAGTGTAAACTCCTGGCAGCATCTGCCCTGAACTTCAGATGAACTCTTGCTGCCCGTGGTCACACCACTACCTCGTTAGACAAACATATCAGGAGTTTCTGTCTTCCTTCATCCCTTGCTGATGTCAGCAGCCAAGAACTACAGACACAACCCACTCATTATCAGCATTTCTGTCTCTGTCAAACAGTTAGTTTATAGATAGTCATAATCTTTCTTCCTTCCGGATGGTTTCTTCTTGTGTACCGAACAAAAGGAAAAATGTGGAGACTGAAAGGTGTGATTTTTCAGTTCTCCTCCCTGTTACCAAATCACCCTCTTATTTTTTGTCTAAGGCTCCATTCATTATCTCTCCCTCCCCTTTTCTCTCCAGACTCCCAGATACCCAGTGTTGCATTACAGTCTAATGGAATAATCAAGCACAGACTCAGAAACACTGAAGTCTGAAACTACATGTTCTCTCTCACCTGCAGGGCTCCGTAGACCTGGAGGGAGGTAGGAATTGTGCTCGTTTGTCCAGTCTTTATGGTTTCCTGGCTTCTATGGCATTAAGCCAAGCTGGATAAATATTTTTTATGAGAATTTCTTCTTTTTATGATACTTACTTAAACTCCAAACATTTTACCTTCATCGAATTTTAAACTGTTAACACTGTATGTATCTGGGAGCCACTTTACTTTGGAGAGAAGACCATTGACACTCAGTGCTGGCATTGGCAAGTTTATTTTTAAACTTTAGACTAGTTGTCAATATGTATGTTCTGTGGTATTTTTATGAGTAAAAAACTTAAATAATTTCTTATATCCTGGCTTGTATCTGCTTTTTATGCCACATAATTATATAATAATGTAGACATTAGCAATGCTGAGTTTTACGTGAATTAAGAGTGCTAGATGTGAACCTAGACTAATTTTTAAGTAACCAAAGTAGAGATTTTACATTTTTTCACTTTTGCTTACTCATATTTATTTATTTTATTTTATTTTTTACTGAGACCAAATTTTAGTCGCTAGCAAAGCATGAGTACATTATTTATTATTAACTGGTAAGATATTTCGCATGCTGACAAAACATAATGATCTTTACAATGTGGAAAAGTGATTTTTGAAATAATAATAAAAATGAAACCTTTGCAAATAACTTTAAATGACATGTGTTGCCTGGTTCTTTTAAAAGACTGTGTCATTTGTGCTTTGTTCATTTGATGCCTTTCCTTTGGTGGGCTGTTGGGATTTAACTTTGTTGTGGGCTGCACTAAACAAAGGAGAGAGAACAAGAAGATGCTAGACTACGGAGGCACTGGGTGGACCTTTGTTTCCGTGTGAAATTCACCATACAGTTTTTGTGACTGAAACAGTGGTGTAAAATTTATCTGTTGCCTAGATCTGAAACATTTCCACTTACATATACATAGCAACAGTTTTGTTTTAACCATCGTTTTGTGTAAAAATATGTATATGTAGTCTTTTAAAAGTCAAAATTGTTGCCAAAGCTGTTTTCATGGCTGGAACCAGAAAGCTTTTTCTACTTCAGGAATAAATTACATTTATCTGCGCAGATGTTGAAAATCCTGTTAAACCCTAGTCAAAGATTTATTTGTTTTACATTAAACAAATTTATGATGAGGGTACACAAATAATTTTTTTTAAAAAAACAAAAGTGCTTGGATTTTGTGTTTGTTCTTCTACCTGGTGCCTTGACATAATGTGTTGGGAGTAGGTATTGGTATTTTCCTGTAAAGGCACCACTTCCTGTTTATGAATGAGGCTTTAAGATCTGACCCTTATAACATGGAAAAGAAGCCAGCAAACTGCATACATGGTTGTAAAGTTATAGCAGGTTCAAAATTAAGCTGCATCCACACAAAACTTCATGTAAGTGTCCTCTCTACTGAATTTTTTTAATTGGAAGCTGTGGAGGAAGACAGTAATGTTCCCAAACGGGAAATTTAGGAACTCCTTTTCTTATAAATTCTTTTTTTTCCTTTTCTTATATATTCTTAGCTCTGTGCATATTATTTATTTCTCTGTTTTGTGATTTAGACCATATAAATATCAGCTCTGAGAATAGGCTTGGAACAACTACTTTTGTTGTATGTTTTTTTTTGTTGTTATTATTCAAGAGCTACCTTATGAGAACATAATGTTAAAAAGTTCAATCCTATGTGAAGGGGCATCTTGCAAACTGTTTTGGTGTATTACGTCAAGTCAGAAAGCAGAAGTGTGAATTAAACACAAAAGTAAATTATATTCCCTCTGAAATATATACCTATTATACCTCACTATCTCATTATCTGACATTTCACATTTAGAATAGAAGTAAAAAAATAAAATCCGTTTCAATCACCTTAAGTCCAGGTCAAGACCTGTGCACTTTGAATGAGGAGTGCCTCCCCACTCCTGAGCCTCAAGTCCTTGGTCACAGCCATCCCACAGTTAAATAAGATTTGTAAAGAGTAGAGTCTGGGTGCCACCAGCAGAACTCAAGGACCGTTAAAGTGCACATAGCTCTGGGCTCAGTGGTCTCTCCACATCTCACCCAAACCCACAGACTACAGATTGCCTCGGGTCCTGAGTGGAACAGCGGCTTTGGGTCATGATTCTATGAGAAGGCAACAGAGGGGTACAAACAGGATATTGCTGTATACCCCAACAAATGCCATTTGCATGGAACCAATGGAGAGAGGATGTGGTTAAGTGGACATTTCTATTGAAAACAACTCTGTGTGCTTTAGGGTAAGTAGACCCCTTCTGACTACAAATGTTAACCCAAGCAACTCTGTTTAAAATGGCACAGGCCTATCTGAACACCCAGAGTACAGAAGTCACAGCGGTTACACGGGAAGAAGCACCCAGTTGTGGCTGCCTCCACACACTGCCTCTTGGACCCTGAGGAACATCTGGTCACGGAAGTTTCAAATAACCATGATTTTTTTTTTGTTAGCAATTTCTTTTTTTTTTTTAATTAAATTTTATTCGTTTTAATGAACATTTACAGAGATTTTGGGTTTTCATTCATTCATTGTTGCACTGTTTTCTCCACCCTCATCCCCAGTTCGTTCTTCTTCCCCCCCATGTCTGTTTTAATTGTCCAATTGCCACAGTGCTTGTCAAAGCCAGTTCTGATTAATCTTTGTCAGTGTGTCCCTTGCCATTCCCTATCACTCCTCCCTGAGAGAGACTTCACCCTGATTCATAAGGAAAAGGGGATGGTGTATTCTCTTAGCTACTTCCTGCTGAAAAGGGATGCTGTGGGTTTCAGGGTGAATGTCTTCTCTCACTACTCCAAAGGGCCCCCTTGGCAGTAGGAAACACATAGACTGTTATGGAGATTGATTTTAGAATTTAGATGCACTGTTATCAATTGTGCTTAGCCGTACATGTTCATATCCTTGAAGATGTATCATGGAAGTGTTGCAGCCTAGAAGATACAAATTTAACAAGTTAAAAGTGCATGAGTCAAAAATTGAAAAGCAATAATATTCTGAGTAGAGGTTCTAATAGTGGCACAAATCAAGTTACAGAGGTAAGGTGGTTCCATTGCCATCCTTACTCTAACTTAATTCTTTTTTTTTTAATTTAAATTTGTTATTAATCTCAGTGAAAATTTACAGAGGCTTTGGATTTCCATTCATTCATTGTTGTAGATTTGTCCCCTCCCAAGGCTCCCCCCCACCAGACATTGCCCTCTTGGAAAAGTAAAAGAAAAGATTCTTTCATTATTTCACAAACCCTCCCCCAGGTCCACTCCACCATGTAGCCATCGTTCTAGACTCCTGTCATGACCGAAATACCTAATCACATATTTCTTTTAAACCGTTTTCTCCCTTCTCTGTTTCAGAGCAGCATACATTATTGAACCCATCTTACTCAGTCTTTCCCCAACACCAAGGACAGTCCCATTCTACAACAGTGGCACCATGCAATATTTGTCCCTTTGTGACTGGGACATTTCACTCAGCATAATGTTCTCCAGAGTCAACCATTTTGAGTAATATTGCATGAGTTCCTTGTTTTTTAATGCAGCTTAGTATTCCATTGTGCGAATATACCACAGCTTCTCTAGCCATTCGTTTGTTGATGGGCACTTAGGTTGTTTCCAGCTCCTTGCTATTGTGAACAAAGCTGCAATAAACATGAGTGTGCATATATCTGCTTGGGTGTCAGTTATGGTCTCTTCTGGGTATATTCCCAGTAGTGGTATTGCGGGGTCAAATGGTATCTCTATTTGCAACTTTTTGAGAAAGCGCCATACCGCTTTCCACAGGGGTTGCACCATTTTACACTCCCACCAACAGTGAATAAGGGTTCCAGTTTCTCCACAACCTCGCCAGCATTTATTGCTTGCTGTTCTGTTAAATTTTTGCTATTTTGACTGGGGTGAGATGATATCTCATAGTTGTTTTAATTTGCATCTCTCTTAGGGCTAGGGATTTTGAGCATTTCTTCATGTGCTTGTTAGCCATCTGAATGTCGTCTTTGGTGAAGTGCAATAACCATGATTTTTACACAGCAGCATCTTTAAAACCTAACTATGTCATAAATCAGGAATGAATATACAGACTTGCCAATCATCTCTCACAGATTAATAAGACATTTTCAGAGCATGTAGAGGGACCGCTCAGAGCAGAGCTGATAGAACACAGATGATATTTAAGTTAACTTCATGTTGTTGTTGAGTACTGTCAAGTTGGAACTGACTCACAGCTGACCCTCCCGCGGGTTTGCAGAGAGGCAGGAAATCACATGGGAGGAGATTGCCCATCTTTCTCCCATGAAGCAGCTGGTAGATTCAGACTTCTTCTGTGTTGGCAGCGCAACGCCTTCCCCATCCCTATCTCACCTCCAGAAAACATTAATAATGAGACTCTTTGTTGTGTTCTTTTATCATCCAGTGAGCTGTCAAGTGTCCTAAACACACACCAAGTCACATATAAAAA